TGCCACCAGTCATGGCCCTGGCCCCCCACCTGACCCACAGGCCAAAAATTAATCACCCATGGTCATGGGTGAGCAAAGTGTTCAGCCCTGATAACCCCTGCCCAGAGAGGGGACCATGTAGGGACACCCCAGGGCTTTGGGGTGCCAGGGCTGCCAGAGGCTTCCTCGGGTGGATTTGGCCACAGCTGAAGGCACGTGGTGACCTCGGCTTCACTCCCAGGCCAGGGACACACATCCCTGACCGTGTCCGGCCACCCTGTCCTGCTGGCAGCTAGAAGTGGCTTTCTTCTTCCACACAGGAAGCCAAGGAACAAACAAAACCCACCCTTTCCCCGAAACAGCTCCAGGCACCCACAGCAGTCACACACCAGGAGTGAGGCCACAGCAGCCTCCTCCAGCCCCAGGGTGTCCCCAGACCCCCGACACCACTGCAGGGATGGGGACACGCCTGGGGACACCCCTAGGGATGCAAAGGGTGTGAAGGGCAGGCACCACAATGCTCTGACCCCGCTTCCTCCCCAGGGATTCCCCAAGTCATTGCTGCCAAAAATTAATGACCATTTTATAGCTTATTAGCCCAGTTCATGAGGAGTGGGGGCAGGGGTGGGGGCTCTGGCTGGGGACAGAGGAGCCAGCAGGACCTGGGTGCTGGCCAAGGGGGTGGAAAGGTTGTGGCTCCCATCCCACTGGCACGGAGCAGCCTGCTCTGAGCTTGGATCCTCATTAACACCAATCCCAGTGGCACCATCAGCCAACTACGAGTGTCCTGGAGAAAGGGGGGGGATGCACGGGTGCAGACTTGGGTACCCCAAGCACAGAGGGATTTCTGCATCCCAAATCCAGGCAGGCTGAGAGCCAGTTGCTGTGGGGGGTTGAAAGGGTTTTGGTGGGGACTGAAAGAGTTTGGGGAGAATGAAAAGGTTCTTGCAGGGATCAAAAGGGGGTTTTGGGGGGGGATCAAAAGGGGGTTTTGGGGGGGGATCAAAAGGGGGTTTTGGGGGGGATCAAAAGGGGGTTTTGGGGGGGATCAAAAGGGGGTTTTGGAGTGCTCCCTGCCCTGCCAAACACGGCTGCAGGGGGTTTCCTCGGGCTGTACATCCCGGGTACCACAGTAGCATCCCCATCCCCAGGCATTTCCATCTTTTTGGCCCCGCGGTGCTGGCAGCGCAGCAGGTTGCCAAGAGCTGCTCTCCCGGTTCCTGCTCCCATTCCATCCCAGCTGCCCTCCGGAGCGGTTCTTAAGGAGAGCAGTGGGTGAAGTGCCATTAACAGGAGCTCATTGCTGACATTTCCTGCCTTGTGCAAACCATCAGGGATGCAGGGAGCAGGCAGGCGGAAAGGGAACAGCTGCCCGTTCCAGCTGTGCCCGGCAACGCAGGGCTGGCTGGGGTGGGAGCTGGAAAACCTCATCTCCCTACGGGGAGATGTCCAGGACAGCCACATCCCCTGGACACAGAGTGCCAGGAAACCCCTCTTGTACCGCTCAGGCATCATGTTTTCCAGGCATTCAAACACAGAATGGCCAGAATCCATCCTCGGGGCGGCTCCGGGAGCTGCCCAAGCTGCCGTGGGATAAACCCGCGCTCTCAAGGCAGGCGTGACATCCCCTGCACCGCATCCCTGTCCCGGGATGTCGGGAAGGGATTTATGGTGCTGCAGGCTCGGTGGGTGCTGGGCATCCTCTGACGCCCACGAAGCGTCCAGTTGGCTTGGGCATCCCCGCGGGGTGCGGGGAAGGAGCTGGAAAGGGGAAGGCTGGGCTTCTGAAAGAGGAAATGAGCAATGTGTGAACTGGGGGAAGGGAGAAGGAACCTGCGTGGCCCCCGCAGCCACCAGTCGGGCAGCACGGGGGGCTGAGGCACGGAAGGCTGGAATTAAAAATTAACTGGTGTAGGCAGCAGTGCAGCTCTGCCCTGGGGGGTGGCGACAAAATAAATAAAAAATTGAAAAAGGAAAATAGAATAAAAAATAAGTTAAAAAAAAAAGATGAAAGAAAAATAGCATAGGAAAAGAATAAAATAAAACATAGAACAATAAAGGGTAAAAATAAAAGAAAAAAGGGTAAAAATTAAAAGGTAAAATAACACAATGAAAAAGAAGAATAAAAGAATAAATATGAAATAAAGAAGTGCAAGAGTGAAAGAAATGAAGCAATATAATAAATTAAAGGTTACAATTATTATAATTATAATTATAATAATTATTAGAATTATTTATTATCATACAATAAAATAAAATTCAAACAAAATAAAAATCAAATTAAAAAATCAATAACTGAGTAAATAAAAAATAAAAAAACATTAAAAAAAAATCGAGCAGACCATTTCCCTCCCTCTCCTGGGATGAAGACGCGGGAAGGATTTCCCAGCGCTCACCTGGGGGGGAGGACAGGGCAGAGCCCACCCCAGGCTGGAGCTCGGTCCAGACAGTGCCGAGCCCCGCGCTGGGGGTCCGGACCCTGGGACAGGGCGGCATCGGGAGCCACAAACCACAGCAGCCGCGGCCACATCCCGCTCCTGTGCCTAATCCTGCGGGAGCCGGGGGTCCCGCGGGGGTCTGGGGGTGCCTCATCACCCCTGGCTGTCGCCCGCAGGGTCTGACCCGCCGGTGCAGCCGGGGCACCCCGCAGAGGGAATTCCCACGAGGAAACCAGCCATCCCAAAACCCGTGCCAGGGCAGGGAACCGGATCCCACGAGCCGCTGTCCGGAGGGGAGGGGGCCAGACACGGCCAAGGTCAGCGGCGGGGGCCGTGGCCGCGCTCGGGTTTCCCTCCCGGCCCAGCGCCACGTCCCAAAACCACCGGTCTGGAAAGCTCCGCTCCAGGCGCTCTGGCACGGCGGCTTCCCACAGCACGCTCTCCCCAAATCCAGAGCCTCCCGAAATCCAGAGCCTGCCTGCACTGGGTCAAGCTCCGGCAGGGAGTTGTGCCAAGGGATTTAAAAATCAGGCCCCGACACACGGGATTTAAAAAAAGAAAAAAAAAAAAAAGTCATCTTTCTTTCCTTGTTTATCCTCTTTTTCCATGACGGCTGAAGGGATTTTTGCTGGTTTTCCGGCTGCCGGGCGCTACTCAACAGCTTCCCGCTGCTGTCCCCACGTCCCACCCCAACGCTGTCCCCACAGCCCTCCCCATAAGGATCGGAGCGATGAGAACCATGCCGGGATTTTCTCGGAGGGAAATCCCGAGCCGAGGGACTGCCAGAGGAGCCCCCCGGACCGCAGCCAGGTGGGATGGAGCCGGGGCTGGGAATAGAGCGGGGACAGGGGCCACAGCACCGGGGCACCCCCTGCTCCTGTGAGGGAGGACGGATGTACCGGGTCCTGCTGCATGTTCCGGGGGTCCCTGCGGGGGTCCCTGCGTGGTGGGGGCAGCCCTGCCCCCCGGCAGCACAGGGGGAGCACCCCGAAGTTGGAGCACTGCCTGGGGTACCCTAAAGTATTGCTGAGGGCACCCTACAACATGGGATGCTCCTGGGGGTGTCCTCGAACCGCAGGGGACATCCCAGCACTCCCGAGGGAAGCCCCCAAAGCACTGAGAACTGCTGGGGGCACACACAAACATTCTGTATGGAACCACCCAAGCAAGAAGAATCCCAAAGCCACACTGGGGGGAACACGCAAAGCAAGGCAACCATAAAGCCTTTCTGGAGGGAACCCCAAAAAGCAAGGGGGATCCCAAAGAACCCCTATGGAGAACCCCCAAAATGCATGCACTGCTGGGGGCACACCCTAAAGCCAGCCTGGGGGGAGACACCCAAAGAAAAGCGACATGAAAGCCACCCTGGAGGGAACCCCCAAAGTACATGCACTGCTAGGGGTACACCAAGCCATTCTGGCCCCAAAGCAGGGGAAACCCTCCAAAGACAGCCGGTGGGTGGCGTCCCCAACAGGGACCTGTTGAGGGGACACCCCACAGCACTCCTGGGGCAGCGAGGCGGGTCCCTCCCGGGGATGGCTCCCCCAACCCAAACCCCTCCCTGCCCGCGCGGGGGGCACTCACATGTCCTTGACGGGCAGGTTCCTGCCTTCCACGATGCGGATGGAGAGGGCGCTGCGCCGGGCCATGGCGGGCGGGCAGCGCAGCCACACCAAGCCGAGGGGAGGCGAGCGCAGCCCGAGAGGCTCCGAGCGCGGCCTCGAACCCGCGGCTCCCGGCACAGCGCCCATGTGCGGGCCGGCGCCGCCGCCCGCCAATCAGCGCGCGGGGGCGGGGAGAGAGGCGTGGCCTGGAAACCCACCCGCGGAGGCCATTGGGCGGTTCTATCGGCTGTCGGCCAGGGGGCGTGGCCTGGGCGCGGTGGGCGGGGACGGGTCCCCCTTCCCCCCGGCTGGGGGTCCCGGGGGCTTCCTCCACTCGGTTCCCGCCGGTCCCTCCTGGTTCTTCCCGGCCCCACTCGGTCTCCCCCCCGTCCCGCTCGGCCCCCCGGCACCGGCCGCGGCTTCTGGGCTGGACCAGACCCACACTCGCCCCCCTCACCCCGAACCTGGGGGTCTGCAGCGTGCGCTGCTCCTCGCTGCCCTGCACCCCAAAACCCCGACGTTTTCTTGCTCTTTTACCTTTTTCACCCTTTTTTGCAGAGCCGCCGAGATACCGGTGGCATTTCTGGGGGGGCTTTGTGCCCTAAATACCCGCGGAGGGAGGGGGAACTCACCCCCCTGCAAGACCCACTTGGGCTCGAGGAGTCGCCCCGCACCCAAAGCTGGGGCTCAGGGCTGTGCCGGCCAAGCTGGTCCTTGGCATTTGCGCCGTGGGGACACTACGGGGACGCTCTGGGAACACGCCGGGAACGCGCTGCCCTGTTCCTACAGCGCTGTCCCTCTCCCTCCCCCGCACGGGGACAGCAAGGGGACAAGGTGCAGTCCCCTGCCAGCATCCCGAGTGGCAGCTCCAGCCCCACCCGCGGTCGGTGCCACGTGTCCCACCCCCATAGCGCCCCCGTGACAGGTGACAACCCCCCAAGCCACTCGAAGCCGCTTTGCAGCTGAAACGGTTGTTTTATTTCGGGAGACGGGATGTGGGTCGGAGAGGACCCGCGTTTGCCGGATGGAACCGTCCTTCGGCTGCACCTACGCTGGTTCTCCTCAGGAGTTAATCGCTGGATTTGCTTGATTTCCCTTGGCTGGGCTCCACGGGGGCGGCTCCGGCAGCGGAGGGGGGGCAGGTTGCTAACACCCCTCCCAGGCAGGACAAGGACAGCCCGTAAGGGCGCTGTGACCGGGGCTGGGTGTGAATGTGATGCTGCCCTTTGCACGGCGCCTACGGGGAGAAACGGTGGGTTTAATATATGGATGTGATGTCTGTAGGTGTGTGCACGCCTGCCCCGGCTCCACGCAAAGGGGCACAACCACCCCGCTGTGAGCTCTGTCCTGCTTGTCCCCAGCACCGGAGGGGGTCTCATCCTGCCCAGGCTGCAGGATCAGGGGCCCACATCCTGGTGAGGGATCAGGAATGATGGATCATGTCCCTCCCAGTATCTGGTAAAGCTTTAGCTTCCCCCAGCTCACTCCCCACCAGTGCAAAACCAGCCCACACATGCCCTAGAGAGGGATCAGCGATTCACTCCCCAGTGCAGGATCAACCCCCACAACACCCGGACCAGGGCCCGACCCCTCAGTGCAGGATCAGGCATCCCAGGGGACCAGTCTCATGGCTCTCAGGGGAACATCAAGAGCACCTGGGAAGGGTTGGGCCAGCTCTGGCTGGGGGAGACCCTCCTCCGGGTTTGGGTGAGCAAGAAATTGCTGTGGGGTTAAGGGGAAGAAACACCCCCTATATTCCCCCCATGGGACATTCCAGTGCCCCTCACCCCAGTGTCAGGGCTGGGGGGGGCCTCCCCTCGCTGCCCTGTGCCCCAGGGGACTTTCCCCCATTCAGAGAGGGCACAGGTGGCACCCCAACCGGGTGTGACAACACATCTCCCATTCCAGAGCATCCCGGGCCACATCTCCCCCCCCAGTCCTCCCCACAGTGATGGGGCTCAGAGCCCTGCGTGGGGACACGGGAATAGGGCCACGGGGATTTCCAGGGGGCTGCGGGAGGCGCCGAGGTTTTGGCAGGTGCCATTCCCGGGGGGGAAGTCACAAACACGAGGCGGAGGCCGGGCACAAAGCACGCGGAAAAGCCTTTAATGTGCCGCTCCAGCGCCCCAGCCTCGGGGGGCTGCTCTAGCTCATGCCGTGGGGGCACCCGGGGGTGCGTGGGGAGGCGGGGTGGTGCCGGGGGGCGGCGGGGGCTCAGAGCCGGGCGGCCGGCTGGTCGTAGACGTGGTGGGTGTTGTACCGCCGCACCGACACCACCTCGGGCTTGCTGAAGGTGCTGCTGCCACCGCAGGCGTCTGAGCTGGGGAGGGAAGGGGGGGGTGAAGGATAAGGGTGGGGACCGCAGGATGACGGCGTCACCCTCTGGCGCCGGTCCCGCGTGCCCAGCACCTATCACTGGGTTCCTGGGGGGGACGTGGAGGTGGCACTCACCCCCAGAAGACGAGCATGGCCACCAGGCCAGCCAGGAGGATGGCGAAGAGGATGGAGAGGATGGTGGTGAGAGCGATCATGCCGGCGCTGTGCCCTCTGTCCGTCGTGGAGATGCTGTTGGGTGACTTGGCTGGGGAGAGAGCGGGAGGGGAGGGAGCAGGATGCAGGGATTGCACAGCCCAGGGCGGCTCCGAGGGGGCCACATGGGTGACGGTGTGTCCGTGTGTGCCAACACAACGTGCCATCGCACACTGCCACCATACCCGAGTGAGACCCGCACCACGGCCCTGCCTCCGTTTCCCCATCTCACAGGGGCCCTCGCCCCAAACCACTGCTCAGGATTCAGCTCCCTGGGAACACCCCACACCCCCCAGGACCACCCCATATCCCCCACCCGACAGCTGCGGGGTGAGCCCCCCAGCAGCAATACCTGTCCTCAGCATGATGGGCTGTGACCAGGATGTCTCAGCCACGGGCTCGGAGCCCTCCAGGGCGAGGAACTTCACCCTGAGATGGGAAGAGAGGTTGGCCACGGTCCCGTTAGGCGGGGGGGGTGTTGGTGCCGGGAGCCGCTGAGGGGGGGCACATCCCCAGGAGCAGACTCACAGGTAGGGCCCGGGGCCGGGCAGGGGGCCATTGCAGGTGGGTCTCGCATCATCCTCGCTGCAGCTGGTCTCGCTGCCAACGCGCAGCACCGTGATATCCCCGGGGGGTTTGGGGCAGGGGTAGTTGGCGAGGGTGGCATTGAGGGTCATGTAGGCCGGGACTCTCTTAGGGAAGTTCTGGAACGCGCTCTCATCAGTCCCCGGCGCAACGCTGTTGTTGAAGGTGGCTGCGGCTGCAGGGATGGGGATAGGGGTTCAGGAGGGACCTGGGGGGCACAGGGAGCCCTGCCCACCCCCTGCCCTGGGCCGCCCCCACCTACTGTTTTCCAGAGCCACCACCAGCCAGATGTCGGCATTGCTGTACTTGTCGAAGACGCAGCGGGGCTGCTCCAGCACGAAGGTGGAGCCGGTCGTCAGCCCCTCCAGCACGGGGGTCTTGGTCAGGAACGGCGTGTACTTCACATGCTCCACTGTGGGGAGAAGCCAAGGGGGTGCAGCAGAGGGGCAGAGCCCCCGCTGCACCCCTGACCTGTGGCTCCGACCGACTGCCGTGGTCGGAGGGGCTCGGGGTGGGGACAGGGGGGAGCTGAACACTGATCTCAGCGGTGGGGCCACTGCTCACTTCCCACCCCTCGTTTTGACCTCAGACGCGTGTTTTGTGAAAAGAGGAATCAAAGACACCCCATGCTCCCACTGGTGTGGGCGGAGACACCCCCTGCGGGACCCCCAGAGGACCCCAGGTCGTTGACACCAGGGACACCGAGGGTGACACCAGAACAGGGGGAGCAGCAGCTGCCCTACCCCTCCAGGCTCAGGGGGGTCCTGGTGCCTGTGCATAGGGGCGTCCTGCAATGCCAAGGGTGACCCCCAGAGGACCCCACACTGTGCCAGCCAACGCCGGTCAGTGACACCAGGGACACTAGAGGTGGCACTCAGAATAGGACTCAGATTAAGGAGAGCATCAGCTGCCCTACACCACCAGGCTCTGGGGTCTTGCGGCTCACAGAGGACCCCTGCAATGCCGAGGGGGATCCCCGGCCCATCCCGATGGCGCCGTCGGACTCACCTGCGCCGTGGGCTGCGGGCAGGAGCAGGAGGAGCAGCGGGAGCAGCGGGAGCATGGTGCGGGCGCTTGGGTGCCGAGGGCAGGAGTGCGGGTAGATGAGCTCCGCGTCCCCGTGGGACCCGCCTGTGGTCACACCAACCGCCCACATTCCTGCACCGACCGCAGCCCCGCGGCAAACAGGTTGGGCTCGTTTCCCCGGGAGCGTGTGTTATGTTTGAGCGCCCGCCGGCGAGGCGTGTTGGGAACCGCCGCACTCGGGGCACGGGTGGGCGACAGACCTCACCTGGGCAGTGGGGCAGAGAGGGACACACCGGGTGATCTGCCCACAGACCCCACGGGTGCCAGCGTGTGCCCCCCACCACGACACCAAATGTCACCAAACTGAGACCTTGGTTTGTTCCGGAGGGAATTCGGTGCCCCCACTCTCACAGCTCCCACCCTGAGTGGCCGAGGACCAGGAGGAGGCAGTCAGAGATGTAAAGTCAGACTTTACTTGGCAGGACACTTTACTTCTAGTGGAAGGGGTCCCTGCCCACGGCAGCGGGGTTGCAATGAGATGGTTTTTAGGGTCCCTTCCAATACAAACTGCTCCATGTTTCTATGGCAAGGAGCAGGGGGTCGGAGGGTAAAGCAGCCCAGCTCTGGGGGGCTGCACCCACAGCCTGGGGGCGGGGGCTGTGGCAGGGCCAGGGGGATGTGATGGGTCCGGTAGGATCTGCGGGCGAAGGCGCTGGTCCCCAAATCCCGTTGGCACAGGGAGCCCCACACCTTGGTACTGCAGAGAGAGAGATGCAGACGCGTCAAGCAGAGCCCATGAGCCCTGCCAGCCCCCCCTTCCCCCGTGCTGACCATCCCCAAGGGGCATTTTCTTCTGCAAACTATATCAACCTCCCCAGTTTAAAAACAAAAAGGCTTTTCAAATCTTAAAACCATCTTTGCTCCGTCTCTTTGCCAGTGGGGGGTGTTCTCCTGGGGCCCCTGCAGACACATCCCCCCCGAGCAGCCCCCGTACCCCAGGGCTCCGAGCACAGCAGTGGCCAGCACTGTCCCCAGGCTGGCCAGGAGGGAGGCGATGACCACCACGTCACTGCCACGGCCTGTGGGCAGGGGGTCGATGGTGCTTGGGCTGAGGGCTGGAAAGAGGCAGGATGAGGGATATGGGGAGACACAGAGAGCAGTGGAAAGGAGAGAGATGGAGCATACGGGGGACATCAGGGATCACTTCTCTCCCCTCTGGATTTTGGGGTGATGGCATGGGGCTCATGCTGTGCCGCATGCCAGCACCCCAACAGGGCAGGTAGGGGACCCACGGGGGGGGTGGCAGTGCCACCAGGCAGATGTGGGGACCCACAGGGGGATGGCAGTGCCACCGGTACCTCTGCGCAGGAGGATGGGGTTCGACCAGCGCGTCTCCGCTTTGGGGCCGTGGCAGCCCATCAGCAGGAACTTCACCCTGCGGTGGGTACGGGAACGACACCGGGGGGACGAGCACACCCCGCGTGGGGAGTTACCCGAGCTGGGATTCGGGGGTTCTGGCCTTACCTGTAGGGTCCTGGGGAGGGCAGGGGCCCGTTGCAGGGGTCCTGCCTGCCCTGGTCCTTGCACGCCGTGTCACCCCCGACCCGCAGCACGGCCGGGCTCGGGGCTGGGCAGGCGAACGCGGCCGCCGCCGTCTCCAGAGTCATGTAGGAGTGGGTGGTGGGCAGCTGCTTGTACAGGGGCACGTCAGCGCGGCATGAGGGGTTCCTGAAGGTGGCTGACGCTGCATGGCACAGATGGAGGGCGAGCGGCTCTGGTGAGGGTCCCCCACCCCCCTGCCAGGGGGAGATGTGCCCGGGGCAGCGGGTGCTCACCGTTGGCAAAAGCCACCACCAGCCAAACAGTGTCGGAGGCGTTGGCGTGCCGGTGGAAGACGCAGCAGGGTCTCTCCAGGGCGAAGGTGGTGGCAGTGACCTTCCCCAGCAGTGCCACGGGGGGCACGCGGGGCACGTAGGGCAGCTGGGCTGGGGGAGTGGACGGTGAGCGAGGGACCCCCTGTTCTGCTCCGCTCAGCAAGTGACTGACCACCCGTGAGAGGGCCCACGAGTGCCAGTGTTGGCACAAGGAGGGTTCACGGGATACCAGCAGGGTCAGCAGGAGGGGGACAGCACTGGTATGGAAACACCCCCACAGCCATGCCCAGCCCCATAACCCCCTCCCTGCCCCTCCAGACCCCGTCCCCCTCTGCCCTGTCCCCCAGGCAGTCACCCAGGCCCGCGGCTGTGCCTGTCCCAGCCAGCGCCAGCAGCACCCACGGCAGCTCCATGGCGTCCTCCCGCTGGGGCTGGATGTGCCGCTCTGCTCCGCTCACCCCGTCCCACTGCCGAGGGGACGAACTGCCCCCAGTGACCCCCCAGCGGGGACCGCCCGTCCCGAGGAGCCGGACCCTCCCAGCCCCACATTCCTGCACCGGCTCTGCCGGCCCGGCAGGACCCCGCGGGCAGGGGGGAACAGCTGAACCACCCGGGTCACCCCTCGGTCCTGCAGGACCCCCAGGCACCGGAGTGCGCTGCGAGGAACCAGGGTAAAGCCTGTGATGTGAAAGGGGAAACTGAGGCGCGGAGGAGGCACCGGACCCTCCAGGATGGGTTGGCGGGAGTCACAGTCTGTGTTGGGGACAGCTGGGCAAGAGGCCCTGCACCCCCCTTCACCCCACCGAGACCCAACTTCCTGCGGGTTGCCCGTGCCCACCGGGAGCCAGGGGTGAGCCCGTGCCCGACTGGTTCGGGTGCAGCCAGCCCAGCCCCGCGGGCAGGGAAGCGCTCCAAAGCATCACACCCGAACCCACCCAAACCCCAGCGATCAGGCGAACGGTCCCACCCAGCACCGGGGGCACGGAAGCACCAAGCTCTGGGGCCACCCCACGCTGCCATTTCCCCAACCATCCTTCCCCCTTCCTAGGGAAAGGCTTCCCGAGCCCTTTGCATGGGGCCAGGGACATCAGGAGCTGCCCCGCGGCTCGGGAGCCCCCCACCGCCACTCCCCACGCAAAGGGGTTGGAGTGCTCCTTCTCCCGTGTTTGCCAAGGGTAGCGGCCGCCCACTCCTGCGTGGGAGGGGATTTCCTCCCCCTTCCCAAGGGGCCGTGACAACGCCTTCAGATTAAGTGGAAATGGGGCATTCAAAGATTACACCGTCCAGCTGCAGAGGGGAAAAACAGGCGCAGCTGCAGCCTCCATCCCTCCTCCCTCTGATCCCTGACTTACTCACCGCTCCGACCCAGCAATACCTACCCTGGGGACCCTGCCAACCCTCCCCCTCTCCCCCCACCAGACCCCTCCCTGGCACTCCCGGCGGGGCGAGGGGCAGAGTAGGTGACGCAGGGGGACAGTGAGTCACAGTTTCAGCTGCCAGTACCCAGCATAGCTGCGGGGTCACGAACGGGCTAAGAATAACCACCCTGCGGCAGACGAGCCACTGCCGCGGGGGGCCGGGAGAGACCCCACCCTCCCCGGGGCTCCAGCGGGGGATGGAGCACACAAGTCTTTTGGTCAACCTGTCCAGCAGCATAATAAGCACTTATTTCAGGTTCTGTCCTCCTTCTCTGTGCTCCAGTGGGCACCACGGCATTACGGGAGCGGAGTGGAAACACAAAGCAGCACTGCCTGAGCTCCTGGATCTGCTCCTTTCCACCCCTTGGCTCCCCCCTGCCCCGGGGACTATCTGAGGCTCAGCACAGACAGGGCAAGGATTTCAGGAGATGCCTCATGTCCAAAGCTGTGACAGCCAGGGAGGAGCTGCTGAGCCTGACCAGCTCACAGCCCAATGCCCAAGCCCTGGACCAGCCCAGATGCAGCTGATTCACACCTCGGAGCAGCTGCTGGAGCTGCCTCGGGCAAGGCTCAGCAGGAAATTCTTGCTTTGTACAAGGCTGGGTGCTCAATTTTCGCTTCAGTTCACTGTTTTGATTGCTGTGAGAACATGATCCAGGGATACAAAGATGGGGTTTAAACTCAAAACCTCTCCCTTTCGCAACCAGGGTGAGAGAAGAACAGTCAGAGCTCGTTTGAGCAGAGCTCAGCACCAGACAGACAAGTAGCTGTGGCTCCCAAGGAGCTGCCATTCCTGCAGCATCCCTAAATTTCACAGGCTGGTTGATGGGTTTACCCCTAGAGCCTGCAAGCACAAGATGGACACTGGGGAAAACTCCTGCCCTGAAAGGCTCTGAAAAACCTTTAATATTTATATTATAATGGCAGGAAGAAAGCTGCCCATTTGCTGGTCCAGGACATGCTGGTCCCAGGAGGATGCCAAGGCAGAGCTGCCACAAAGCCCAGCCACATCCCAGATTTCCCAGGAAGGAGGTGAAAGGGGAGATGGCACCAGTGCCAAAGGGATGGTTTCAATGTGCAGCCGGGTCCAGTGGCCACAGGGAGGGGAACAGCTCTTCAAAAGACATCAGCTCCCAGCCTGGGGACACTGGGCCACCAGGACTGGGGCAATATCCCACTTGCAAGGTGCTAGGAGTACCAGGAGTGTGCTCCCAGCTGGAGAGCATCGCTGCTGGAACCTGGGCTGGCTGCCACCACCACAGGAGGAAGATGACTGTGACCAGCTGGTGGCACCAGTATCCCTGCAGCAGCAGAACAAAGCACAGCAGCTCCTCCCTGCAGAGGCTTCACCGTGCACAAACAGCCACAAATTGCTGCCATTTCACCTGAGAGAAGGAGAAAAGAGGGACAGGGTCTGCCAGAAGGGCTGGGGAGGAAAGAAGCGAGGCTGACAGCTCACAGCAAGAGCAGGGGGCTGCAACTTTGTGCAGGGTGGGCAGTGATGGCTCACCTCTGCTGACACCACAGCCACAGACCACCAGGATCCAGCAGCCAAAGTACTGACACAGGCTGGAAGCAACCCTGGGACCAGCACTCTGTGTCCTGCCTCCACCAAGATCCACGTCCCTCCAGCTGAGCTGAGCTTCCCTTCCTTTGTCCTGGCTGGAATGAAGCTCCCTGGATCAGGCTGGTCCCCCAGAGAGGGCCACTAAAGGTGAGGTACCCCAAGCCCTGAAGCGGCAGGAAGGCAGAGGCAGGGACTGGCTGTGGAAATGAAGAGTTTATTGGGACTGAGCAGAGATACAGGGCAGGAGGGAGGCAAGAGGTGCCTCAGGGAGCTGCTGTTCACCAGAGGGAGGCCCTCATTTGTTTTCCAGGTGGTTTAGTGGGAGAAAGGCACTCCCATCTCCCCACCCTGTCCCCAAGTATTACCAGAGGAAGGTCCTGCCTTCCCCAGGGGACCTGTCACCTCAGGACTGCTGTCCCAGCTGCTCCCGGCCATGGCCATCAATCCCACCCAGAGACACAAGTGCAGCTTCTACAAAAATATCCTTCCCTTCCCCCAAAAACGTGAAGAGCAGGTGGGGCTCCCACGGAACTGTTATTGCTCAGTGTGCCGGGTGGTCAGACACAGGAACTTTAAGGCATCAGGAATAAGTGCACTAGGTGGGCCCCCGAGGTGTGCACGGCACAGCCCGGCCCCCACGGCTCACTGTCCCAAGCAGTCCTCAGTGACCCCCTGGGCAGCCAGCTCTGCCAGCACATTGTCCAGGTAGTTGGGGTCGGGGTAGCCGTGGCCGCTCAGGTTTGAGTCCATCTCGGTCTTGTGGTGGATCTCGTTCCACACCACCGTGTTGCTCTCGCCGGTGGTGTTGGAGGTGCCCACTGTGAAAATCAGGCGCCTCTTCCAGGCCACCTTCAGGAGCTCCAGAACCTGGAGGGGGAAAGGAAAACCAAAGGTAGAAGACTTGAGCCATGAAAACAGCCTGCCAGAAGCCTGACAAGCTCAGTGCCATGAGATAACAGGAGAAGGGTGATGTTATCAGGGTACAGTGCTTTACCTTTCTGCCCTTCTCGTTGTCTGGTAGGTAGCAATAGCGAGGAAAGCCTCTGGCCGTGTATGGCATCCCAGGGTTGGGGTGCTCAGGGCCCTGCAAGGGATGAGACATATTTGACATGGACACACCCATCTGCATAGGAGTTGGGCAATTCCTCAGCAGCAGGATTTGACGCAGGCTCATCTCAAAGCAGCTCCTCCATGTAAAAGGCAGCTGATGAGCACAAGGTGTCTGACTTGTTCTTATTGGTCATGTGAGTATTACAGGTCCTCCAAGAGCGGTCTCATGCTGGGATACAAAGCTAGATCTTCTAAAATCTAATTAAATTCTGGTGGGAGACAGCCTCAAACCACAGCTTTTCCACGTGCTCTGATGACACCTTAAAAAAACCCCACACAGCTCAAACCTCTGCAAGCTCACTGCCACCACTGAAACCAGTGTGGGCTGTGAAACCACACATCGGGATCGCTCCCACCTTGTGAGCATGTTTCAGGCAGACATTAGTTCCTCACTGCAGGTGAAGAGCTGTTGTAAACTCTGGGGATGCTCAGAAAAAGATCTTTGATGGAGGAGACCCACACACACAGCTGGTGCAGCTGCTGGTTGCAGGCACCGTAGGCTGCTCAGTGATGAGCTGCCAGCAGGCACTGTACTGGATCCCAAAACTTTTCTGGGAGGCTCTCACAGCTTATGCTATCCACCAGCGTGCTGTGCACTCACCTGGATGCCTCTGCTGATGTGATACACAATCTGGATTGTCCCACAGTCCTTGTGGCCAGGGAGGGACTGGGGGAAAGTGGAGACTTCCATCTTCCCTTTGGGCTGGGTCCCAGTTTTCTCCCCGTAGATGGTTTTACAGGAGGGACACTGCAAGCTGCCATCCTGCCAGGAGAGAGAAGCCAGGATCAGAGCTCCACAGCCCAGTGACCTGGGTGCAGGGGACCTGGTGGGGACAGGCCAGCTGGGTACCTTGTTCCCGTTGGAGTACATGGCCAGCATGCAGAGCATGTGGAAGGAGTGCTGGCAGCTTGTCAGGCGACCAACAGCCTCTGGCCTGATGGTGCTGGACTCACACATGTCACTGTAGCCAGAGGGGGAGGAGAGCTTCTCCATGCAGATGATGCAGTCCTGGAGGAGAAACCACCACCTGTGAGCACAGGCTGATCCCAAGGACTGACCCATCAAGGAAGCCCTCAAGGAGATGCTTCACGAAGATCTGCCTTCTGCTTTAATCCCTCCCTTTGAGGTTTATGGGCACAGAGACAGGTTTCTTTATCTGGTTGGTATCGCCCCACTCCACTTCCTGCTTTGCCCAGGAGGTGGAGAGCTGCCATCAGTCACAGCAGATGAGTGGGAACTGGGTATGGCTGTCCTGCTTCTCTGCAAAGCAGCTCCAGTACAGGGTGTGATCGCTAGTTCTAATCTCTGAGCACTGAGAGACCAAACCCAAAGCTCTGAGCACTGAGAGACCAAACCCAGCCAGATCCAAGACAAATGGGGAGGCACTGTCAGGCTGAGCTATCCAACCCACATTGTGCTTTCTCTGTCACAGTCTTCTGACAAGGACCTGTTGTCAGATGTGGCCTCCAGGCAGTGCTGAGGCCTCTCTACCTCACATCAGTGCCACTGCAAGCAGCAGTATCTACCACACAGGATGCCCAAGGAAGGATGGTCCTCAGGCAACACTGTGGTTTTCATGACACCCCAGCGAACTCTGGGCAAGCTGGAGTTGCCTCACTGTCCTCTCACCTCATCAGCAGGAGTGCCCTTCAGCTCTTCCAGGTACTTCTTCACTACTGCTTCTGGCTCTGTTGGTGTGGCTGCACAAGGAGAGAGGTGAGAAAGAGGAGAAATCAGACACAGGGTGCAGTACGAGCAGCACGTGTGGGGTGAGCTAGAGAGAAGGGAGACAAGCAGGCCACTGGCCAGGATGCCAAGGAGAAAGGTTAGGGTTAGAGGGGGAGAAGAGGCTGCTCCAGCTGATCCCTACAAGCCCCACAAAGGCTCTGCTATCAGCAATGGCTCCCACCCGGACTGTGAGCGTCACAGATTGGCACCCCTTGTGCCGTACACCCGGGGGTCTGCCTGGAGCTGCTGTGCTCCAGTTCTCCCCAAGTGGTGCCAGGCAGGTCCCAGCTGGGCTTTCTGTGCATACCAGAAGCCAGCTGGGATCAAACTCAGTGGCCTCAGTAGGATAGAGGATCACACAGTCGATGCTGTCCAAGGAGAAAAGGCATTCCCACATCACCCCAGCTGGTGCCCAACAAGGACACCCAGCAACACACACCAAGCTTCAGGTCCTGTTTTGATTATGGCAGAATGTGCTTCACATCCTTAATGTGAAACAGTGGCCTTTCTCCTGAGCTTCCACAGACAGACTCATATCCAGCAAGACACAGTGCAAGTCACCCAAGCATATGAAACAAACCATTTTTTTAACTTGCAGCACATGACACAGATATCTTTGCATCTTCCCACATATAGTCCCTGATCCCATCCATCCAGGCACGGGCACCCAACCAGCCCACAGACCTGGTCCTCTCAGAAGCATTATGGGATGAAGCAACAGACATCACACAACACCCAGAGCAAGTTACCACCGAGCCCATCCTCTTGGAGCTGCCCAGGGAGGCTTGGCTTAAGCCAGGGAGCATCTCCTGCCCCTGTATAGCACCTGGCCCTGGGAGAGGAGAGGAGCTCCTTACCCGTCATCAGGCCTGTCACGGGGGCTGCCAGGCTCTTCCACCAGCCTGAGAGAGGAAACATTTGTGCAAGTGATGTTATGAGTCCACCTGGCAGGAGGCAAAGAGAGAGACTGGTCACTTGGCTTGGGGGAACCTTGTCCTTCCTTCCTTCCTTCCTTAATCCAAATCTGAGGGGTCAGCCAAGGCATAGCTCTTCCTTCTCCATTCTCCTTCCTGGCTGGAGTAGCTCTTCCTTCTCCATCCTGGCCAGATGGATCCTTTAGCACAGACAGTGCTGCTGCTCCCAACTCCACGCTCCCAGGGGGACACGGAGTATCACAATGTGCAACAGCTGAGCACTGGAGATGTGGCTGTACCTGCACAACACAAATCTTCAGCTCTCCCCATCTGTTTGGGTATTGCAAAACATGCAAAAGCCTGGATGGCACAGATCCTCTACCAGGTAGAAGCCCCTCATTCCCTAAAATGCCATGGAAGAAAGCAGGACAGAGCAATAACGTGGGCAGAACATCCTTTAGCTAATGAAGACTGATGAACTGGAAGCGGGACTTTTCTAACAAGAACACGGTGAGTTATTTTCAGAGGGGGATTCCTGGCCATTCCTGAAACACAAGATTTCTGGCAGCAGGAGCAGGAGGAAGGGATGACCGAGCACACAGAGCAAGAAAAGGAGCCCAGGAGGTGAAGAGATGCTTGCTCCAAGTGTCGGTGCCAGGCAGGAGAGACGCCTGACATCTCAGGCAGAGCTGGGCTTCATGATCATGTGGGAGATGGAGACCTCAGTTTCTGCAGGTTTTGGAAAGGCCTCTGTGAGCAGGACTAGCAGCTACCCACCCTAACTCCATCCACTTCCATGATGACCACTGTGTTCTCATCCCTGAGGATCTTGTGCTGCCTGGCAGGCTGACCACCATGTCCTTCTCCATCTGACCTGCATTTTCCAGGTGTCTCTTTCCGAGGTGACCTTCTTGTCTCCTCTGGCTTTGGGCTGGAGGAAGCAATGCCAAGAAGATGCACAGACAAGGTGAAGACAGTGAGGGAAGTGAGCAGAGAGGGCGTGTTACAGCAACACCTGCCTGGCCCTTGGCAGAACGCCCCAGCTCACCTGCTCCCACCTGCACACACCTGAGCAGCTTCAGAGCACTTTATCTAGTTCAGGGCGGTGGGGGATGCTCTCCCCTTGCAGCCCCTGGTGACTTTCCTTCTCTGCAGCAGCTCAGAGAAAAATCAATAACTCACCCAAGAACTGGCCAGGCTCATTCAAATGAAATCAATGAAAGGAGACAAAAATCTGGTGCAGGAAAGTCCTTGGGGTACAGCAGGGATTTTGAGCAAGGCAAATGGCATTACCCACCTCCCCAGCTGGCGTTAGGATGGAGCTGGGGCAATCAGACAGGCAGAAGAGAGTGATGCAGCCCTCAGCCATCCTTAGGAAACCCGTGCCTCATGGATTTGCAGTGGCATCTCCAATCTGTTCCTGTCACTTTGCTGTGGCAATGCTCCGGTGCATTTACAGCCACCAAGGCTGCCTGCAGAGAGGAAGGGCTGGGGAGCCCAGACGCTTTAGAAAAAATTGCCCCCAGCTGCGAGGATTTGAATGTCCAGTCCTAAAGGAGCCCTGTGACGCTGACAGCTTGGTTTTCAGCAGGGGTAGCAAACCCCACACAGCCTTCCTCGCCTCCAAAAGGAGGCTCTTCCTTGGACAGGCCAGCACGTCTGTCCAGGCACATCCCAGCAGCGTGGGGGGAGCCAGGAGGCAGCCGGGACCACGGCACGAGCCACGTCTGCTCCCGCACGCGAATCACTTCCTTACAGGACACTTTGCTCCGTACAAGTGTTTGCCTCCGAATCTTTGTTCTAGCCATCCCCTGGGATCATCAAAGCCCGTTCAGTCCCCAGAGCTTTCTGGATTCAATAGAGGATTGGAAATGCAATAGCAGGATCGACTGATGCTGTTTATCACTAGCTGGCCGAGTGCTGCACGACGGATTTATCCGGGATGCCAAAGAATGTTTACCATTCTTTCATTTACAAAGAGAGGGATATCAAATTGTTTCCAATGCTTCCCCTTCCTCCCTGTAGATAATAGGCTGCTTGCTGAAGCAAGGGCTTTCCACGGGCAACGTTTAACAGATGTGTTTCGAATCCTTACTCGGCAACCAAATGCTTGCAGCAGTAACATGTCTCCTCCTGTATCCCAAAATGAGCCATACGGTTTCCAGCAGACATTTTTTTGATACCCTCTGCAGGCCAGACACGGGTTGTTTCTAGTTACTGTCATGAACACTCACACAGCTCTGATCACCTCTGCTCCCTGCGCTTGCAAAGGCTGGATCTCCCAGCCTCAACCCCTGAAAGGGCTGTCCAGAAATCTGGGAGGTGAGAGGAGTTTGGTGCTAAAAACAGGTTTTTCCACGTTCAGCATTTCAGCAGGATAGCCCAGTGATCAGGCTGCTCTGGTCAGAACACCCCTGTTACTGCAGCCTGTCTCCTTCCCCAGGGGAACAGGGAGCTCCCCCAACTCCAAGGCACAGGCACTTGCACAGTCCACAGACCCAGCTGCAGACAGACAGACATATGGGGAGCAATCAGAGTCAGCAGTGATTAATCTCCTTGCTTGGCAGGGAAGAGTAAACCATCTCCTCTCCCTCCTTACAGCAGCACTCCACACGTGCCTGCCCGCCCTAGGGAGGATGGATGTGCAGGGAAAACTCCTTGCCAGGTGGAAGCGGGTGGTGACCCCACCATCCAGAGGGTAACAAGTAGCAGAGCAAGCTCAAACCAACACCTCCTCTCTGCAGTCCCCCCGTGAGGTCTCGGGAGCCCTGTGGTGTCCAGCTCCATGGCCAAGCAGTGCTTGGGCACAGCAAGACGAGCCACTGACAGCAGCAAGGCCCCAGTCAGCGAGGCTGGCACGAGGCAGTGGCTGCAGCATCCCGAGGAAGCGCAGCGCGGTGCCAGCCGGCGGGAAGGCAGCGCCGATCCATGAGGATGGCAGACGCTGCCAGGCCGTGTGCCAGGATAACACAGAGCCTTGCCTGGAGACTACGGCTTCCCCGAGACCCGCAGCACGTGTCTGTGCCAGACATAGCCCTGCCAGAACAGCGACAACGCTAATGAGTCCTGACTAATTAGCGCCTCTGTTTAACACACCCCAGCTATATCCGGCTGCAATTCCATCAGCACCGCCTCAACCCAGGTGGGACCTGGATTTGCAGCAGCAGGAGGGAGGGAGAAGAGGCTCAGGAGAGGCACACTGCACCCACCACCAGCTGGTTGTATTTAGTACACTGCTGGGCCCACTCCTGGATGCACAGCTCTTGCTTGAGATGGAAAATCCTAGAGGGGTGTGGGAGAGGACACACGATGCAGAAATTCAGGGCACAAAACAGGCCCATCTCTGCCTGTTGGCTGCTTCAGGGTCTGTAAAGGCAAAGAGAACAGCCTGGCCAGAAGTCAGGTTCAGGACCTGCAATGCAGAACAATGTTCCTAAGCCCTGAGGGGTGTTGTACAAGCACAGCTTGTTCTCCCCAGCAAAAGGAGATCCTGCTTTCCAAAACAAGAGAGGGATTTTAACAACCTGAACCACTGAAAGGTCCCCCTTCTCATGGGTCATTGTGGGAAAGGACAGAGCTGGCAGTCTCCTCTTGCAGCAGGAGGATGGCTGGGGCAAGTCCTGCCCATGCCAGATGGGAAAAGAAGCTCCTTGATGCCCCTTCCCCATTCCATCCCTCCTGCTGGTGTCCCCTCTGCTCCTCTGCAGGTGTCCCAGCCCCAGCAGGTGGCATTGGAGAGCTGGCAGGGAGGTGACAGCCTGGCCTGGGGCTGGGGCCAGGCTGCCCCAGCACAGCCCTGCAAGCACACAGGGGTGCTCCCAGTGCTGCCCCCAGCATTGAGGAACTGGCACCTCATGGCAGAGGAGATGCTGAGGGGGTACAAAACACCCAGCACAGCTACAGCCACCCCTCTGCTCCCTGGCAGACACCTAACACGGTGTGTGTTGCTCTCACCCCCGGCCCACATCCCATCCTCCTTGCTCCCCGTTCCATGCTCTGCATTGCTGCTTTCCCCACACCACTCCCAAGGCACATCCTCCTGTTAACACCCCTTACAGCATCCTGGCTGTTTGCACCCACATCCCCTCCTGCCAGGGAGGGCTGGATGTTGTGACTGGTGCAGTGCTCAGGATAGAGAGACCCCGTGGAGGAGGAACCAGCAGCCAGCTGGGCTGCAGAGGAGCAGGGCCTTGTGTCTGTGGCCACATCATACCCTAAATACAACCATTTCATGTCACTAACCAGCAGCAGGTGATCAACACCAATGCAGGCCTAGCCCTCGGTTTTTTGGGCTCCTCTGTGGGAGGGCCTGGCCTCTCACAGCTCCATTTCAGCACTGTTTCCAGGGCATTCCCACCACTCAGCCCTCATCCCTGGCTGTGGAGGGCTGCTTGGATGCTGCCCGTGCCAGGAGTGGAGCACCAGGAGCCACATTATCCCACCACCTTGCCAGCTGGCTCCATAGAGTGAGATCCTCATCCAGCCCCCCTGTCATCCACCTCCACTCGGCTCTTCTCCTTCACCTCCCATTTTCCTTCGCTCCTCCTGTTCTTCACTGCTTCTCCTGCCGCCCCTGCTTTCTCCTCCCCCTCCATCACACATCCTACTCCACATTTGCTCTCTCCCTCCTTCTTGCAGCTCCCTCCATAATGCATTTCCACAAAATACCTCCCTCCTCATTTAATTTCTATTTTCCTTCCTGCCTCCTTCACACAGCTTTGGACTCTGTGGACTCCAAGAAGAGAAAAAAAATGTACCAATACACTCCCCAGACAGGCAGATGCCTCTTCCCCTCCACCTCCGGGCTCTTCCCTTTCTTAAATATAAGCATCTCAGATAAATGTTGAACACTTTCCACCTCTAGTCCCCCCTTTTTTGCTAATCCAAAGTGGGGGGGACACACTGTAGGTTTGGTGGTGGTTGACACACCTGTGCCAAGGTTGGCAAACAACCTCTACAGCTACACCAGGCTGGATTCACACCTACTCCTGCAGAGTCCTAAGGCTGCTACACACAGATGGAATCCAGGCTGTAAACTGGGAGCCCACAGGCTCTGCAAAGGTGAGGGATGCCAGTGAGATAAGAGGAGAAATGAAAGCCCAACCCTGGAAGTGGCTCAGCTCGGCACAAGAGCCAAGGCAACCCATCCCTTCCTGCCATGGCACATCCACCTGAGAGCGCCCCACTCCCATTCCAGACGAGAGGTGGAAAGAATAAATCCACTGCAATTTGACCTAGAAAGCCCTGCATGACTCAGGGGCCTGCTGGTTTGGCAGGTCCTTGTCATCCCATGACTCAATCATGACGAGCATGGCTCACAAGCAAACCTTCTCTCCAGAGCACATATGGATTCAGTGCTCTCCTTGATGGTCCCTGAGCTCCCAGAGTTGTTCCACCACTGACTCAGAAGGTCCTGGTACGTGGACACTCAGGGTTCCCCAAGAGGGTGCAGAAGGAGCACGGGGGGAGCGTGACACGCACAGATGACAGAGCTGCTCCAGCTTTAATTATGGATGGAAACAAGCAGACCTACCAGAGGACCACATCTACTTTCTCATTTTATTTCACAGCCTGTCAGAGACAGTGCAGGTCAGGGGAGACGTGTCCTGCTTCTCCCCTCAGTGGGACAAACACCATCAGTCAAACCAGAAGAGCCGAGAGGGTGGAGGGAGAGACGAGAGGGAAGGAGGGAGCACAGAGAGACAAAAAAAGAGAAGGAGATGGAAGCAAATATATCAGAGTTTGAGCAGGAACTACCTTTCTTGGACACTTTCCTCCCCTCCTTAACTGAGCTGTGTTTTTTAGTGGCTCTATGGGTGCTGGCAGCTTGCGGCACACGGGTGAGGTGCACGGGGAGTCCGGCGGCTGACATCAGAATAGCCGTCATGCCTACAGTGGGTGCGAGGTCAACATGCAGGAGGGAAACAATGGGGAAATACAATCATTAAAAAAAAAAAATAATCTTTTAAAGGAAATTAAAAAAAAAAAAAAAAAAAAAAAAAAAAAAAAAAAAAAAAAAAAAAAAAAAAAAAAAAAAAAAAAAAGGATAAAATAAACCAAAACCCAAGCCCTTGATTCAGAGGACATAAAACATCCGAGAGGCAACAGGGTTGGAGTCAGCACAAGGACAGGATCCAGAGGTTTTCAGAGGGAGGAGCCCAGGTAGTAAATTAAAGGGGGGGGAAGTGTGGGCACACCTCTGTGTTGGTGTGTGAACAGGACCTTCCTCTTTGCCTTGGCTTTAGGGCTCCTCAGGCACTGAGTCTGCCATGGTGCAGGGTTCTCCCACTCACCAGAGCCCTGGGATCAGTCCTGAAGGATTAGGGGCATTACTGGTATCTCGTAAAGGTCCTGCTCAGCTGCTCCCACCTAAAGCTATCTATTTCAACAGTGCCACACCAAACCCATCTCCAGAGTGCAGCTGAACTCAGCCCCTCACTCACCCCACACCCTCTCCTCCCTGGCACTCTGGTTTTCCCTTGCACTCCCAGCTCCATGCAATCCTCACCCTCCCCCATCCCAGCCAGCTGTATCCACGGGATGCAGTTTGATAAAGCTAATGAATCATTAAAAAGGACGGCCATTCCCTGAAGGTAAAATTGGCACACAGACAGCTACAGGACTGATCACACTGATCCCGAGATGTTTGCCTGTGAAATGCAGGCTGGTTACAAATCATAACATTTCCAAGGTACCATACTGCTCTCACACCTACATCCAAGAGAATACCTGCCTTTACTTTCCCAAGAGCAATTTCCCACGTGCAACAGACAGCATGAGAACTAAAAGAAAAAAAAAAAAGCTTATAGTTGCTGGTTTTTAGGTTTTCTGCTCTTGCTTTGCATTTCCCCATAAGTCACCTCTGATAGCAGACCACACAAACCACATCCTAATGCTATGGACATTCCTGCCAGCATCCTCAAATAAGCAACCAGTCAAGAATTTGCATCCTGTGTCTAGAAATCCCCTGGGCAAAGCCTGTGTCAGTGCTCCACAAGCAGAACCACTCCTACACAGTGCCAACCACAATTCATGCCTCCTTCTCCTAAGGTCAGAGCACAATAAATATTCCAGAAGCTGTTCAACTCCTTTCCTGAAACCCAAAGTTGAATACTTTCACTAAAGCTTTCCCATCTATGGACCAAAAGACAGAAGGAGTTGCACAACACAGGGAAAGGGGCACAGATGGAGGAAGGAGTTTCCCCAGGGTTACCCAAGAACTTCTGGCAGGGCTGGTCTGGCCACAAGACCAGGCTGCCCAATGGATGGTGAAAGTTCCAAATGGAAATAGGTAAGCAGGCAGCCATGGATCACCCTCATGAGGTGCCATCATTGTGGACCTAGATCTGAGGTGCTACAGGGCCAGAGGAGGATCTTCAAAGCATACAAAGCCTGGGTTAGTGTCCCTTGTCCCACTGACAGCAGACCCTTCCCAGCAGACCAGCCAAGGAGAGCCCATCAGATCCAGAAATTTCACCATCAAAATAACTTCCTTTCAATCCTGAACTAAAGACCACAAGCCTATTTTATGTTCTCAACACTGGTCTAAGCCAGCAGTCCACTACTTCCAGGAAGAGCTTGAATGTTCCCATAACAAAAGCTACTTGTTTTTTCATGTGTGAGTACCACTGAGCACCTGAAGCCCAGCAGCAGCACCAAAGCTGCCACCTACACATGTACCAGGCAGGTCCTTCCCCCTTCCAGCAGGTTAAAGGACAGCCAGAGGTATTCCCAGAAGAGCAATACCAACTGATTAGAGAGCCCGGAGGAACAATATTCTTGAGAAACAGGGAAGATGCTGCCCCCGCCACAGCTGGGGAGATCATCTCAGTCTGACCCCACTGAGGCTGCAAAATACAATTCCCAGAATTGGTGCAGAAACCAAAGTTAAAGTTGTGTCTAAAAAAGCTGTTTCTAAGCAGTGCAATAGCACTGATTGCACAGACTGACATTTGAAAAGCGAGTCCAAAGACTAACAGGGATTATCACCACCCACGCACAGCTGACTGATAGGCAAATGCAAAATTAATGTGTTCTTCTGAAGAGATCAATACTGTCTTGCTAACATTAGCATGCAGGGCCCATAAAAAAAAAAAAAAGAAAAGAAAAAAAAAAGAGAGAACACAGCAGAAGCAGAGGCTGAACAACCAGCTTCAAACCCTCAATGTCACAGGGCAACACGCTGCCTTCAAAAATCAGTGCAAGCAAAGAGCATGAGCCACAGAATTTCAGGTGAGTTCAGCTACCCTCTAACACAGCCCCTCTTGTACCTGGAACAGCATGCCAGCACCATGAGTCACCACCGAACGCCCCCCCACCCCCAGCATTTTTCCCTCAAACTCTTTTGTTTTATGAGCTGCAAACCCATCTGCAGCTCCTCGCAGACATAGAGCACGGGGCAAACGTGGGACCAGCAGAATTACCCCAACCCAATGTTCTCTCAGTTTTAAATTGGTCAAGAAAAGGTAAAAGTGGGAAAACACGTTTTCCTGGCCAAGTTTTAGCCTTCTGCTGCCTTCAAAGAAACATGCAATGAATCGATGCATCACTAAATGCAGATTCAGATCAAGAGAGTGTTCAAAAAGGGGATGTCCTGGTGTTAACGCTGCTCTTCTGGCTCATCTCCAACAGAAATGCCTCCTTTGAAGTTCTAACACAATACTGCAAATCTCAGCATTAACAATCCTCCCACAAGTTTGGTGGCAGAGTCCCCAGTAGGGGATCCCCTCTGCCCCAGGCCTTCCATGGAAGTGTGTGCTCATACCAAGTGCCAAAACAATACACAAACACGTCACATCTGCAGATGGAGTCTCTGATTCTGACCATGGACACAACAATTTCAAGTCAGAACCTGTTATAGGCATCCATGGAGTTGTGTCAGGAGCAAGTGTAGCTCTAAACCTGGATAAATTCTCCCTGAATACACAAGGGGCAAGTTGCAGCATGACAAGCTTGCCCAGGCCAAGCCTGCTTTGGACACCACGTGTTCCTGTGAGAGTTCCTGCTGCTCACCAGCAAGCCTGGGAGCTTGAAAAATATTATTTAATGTGTTCACAGTTTCCATGGGGCACTGGGTTTCTTGCCTGCAAGGACTGCAGGAGTGAAGAGACCAAGCCTCCTGAAACATTCTCTGGCATCTGATCTGCTGTGAACACCTGCAATAACCACACTCAGAACTGCCTCTTCTCTCTTGCTCAAAGCATCTATCTGGCCAGAAATACAACGTTAGTGACTCCTGGGGGTAAAATTATTTTCACTGGAGCTATGAGAACATCCACCAGCTTTTCTCAGCCTGCTGTGTAAATAATGGACTTTTGTAATATCCTGTGCAGAGGCTGAGCACGGGAAATATACCCTGACATAATGTAATGAGTGTTGAGGACACACTTACTCATATCCAGCCCAACATGCCCCTCTGGTCACCAGCTCTGGCTAATGAGCTGCATTTGCACAGGCCTCAGGCTGGCACAGGGCAGAGCTTATCTGCAAATAACATGAGATCTCAGAAAAGCATTGCTAATTTGTACAATTACATCCACCAGTAAAATCATTATGCTTAGTATGTTCCCAAATGGCCCAGCTCCAGGAATCATGTGAATGGGAAATACTCCGTTTCATTTAACAAAAAGCTCATTTCCAGCCTTCCTCTTAAAAATAGTATTAGACAGGCTTTTATATGAGCACCTTGCCCAGCCCTCAAGCCCCAAGGCACACCAGCTAAACTCCATTATTCCCAGGACATCTTAGTCCAGCTGATCCTTGAACACCAATACTGTGGTTAAACAGTTTGCTCAGACCTCTCTTCTGGCTTTCCACTGTACCAGCCGAATACTCACGGGGAAAGAAAGAGCTTAAAAGACAAGTTTCCACATGCACTTTGAAGTATTAAATAAGCAGAAAGCAAGGGAAAAGAAGTTATGGGGTTTTGTACAAAACATGGTTTTAAAGTCAGCTTCACAATGTCTGAGATCCCAAGTGGTGCTTTCAGCAGACGTGGGGTTGACAGTGCTACAAATCCCTCGCTCATCATGCAAACAAAACCCAGCTTCTCGTTTAGACCCACAGGGCTCCTCATCTCCCTGTTTATCCACCAGAGGCTCCTCCCTCTACATCCAAAAGATGCACCTGCAGCATTTCTCAAGATCACCCATGAGATTCGGGGGTTTTATCTCTCCAGCTTCAAACCAGAGCCGAAGCTGCTGAGGCACCCGGGGACGGAGACCACGGGCTGTGAGACTTCTGGACACGCTTCCCAAAATAAAACCTCCTTCATTCTCATCCAAGACTTCCCTCTCCCTCACAACATGAGAGCCCTAGAGAACCCAGCCTTTGCCACTGATGCTGAAGGAAGCAGTTCATGCAGCAGGGACTGGAGGAACAAAAGAGGCCCAGATTTTGTTAGAGAACAACCTGAGTAACGAGTAACTCGCACATCATCAGTAGGATTTTAAAGATGAACAAAATACTACTTCCCTGAAGTGGTTCAAGACACAAAGCAGAACATACTGGGGAAGAGTGTGTCCCTAAAGACCCAACCAATTAATGTTTCAATAGAACTATTCCTTTTTACCAGAACTCCACTGCTTCCTTTTTACCAGAAATATCCCTTGAGATTTATTTTCCTTCTGCTTCCTAATTAACTTGTATTAATCTTTCCTCTGGTTCCATGTGACTTTGAGGACAGACTCAAATTCAGATTTCCCTCCTCCCTTGCACCTCTGAGGTGTGTCACACTTGGCAGAAGGCAGCACAGTGCCCACCAAAGCAGTGCCCTATAAAGACCTGGATCTGAAGGAGACGCTGGCCCCAGGGATTTGCTCCTGCACTGACCACACTCAGCTCTGCACTCCCCTGCACCCCAGAGTGCATTGTGGAGACTTGTAAGTGTTAAAGTGAATAATTATTCCCTCTTTTGCACCCCCAGCCTGCAACAGAGATATCAATTACAAGCTTAACCATTTTACTGTATTAAATGGTGGCAAGTGGCTTATTTTACTGGGCTTTCC